AACTAGCAGCTGGTTCATTTGTGCTGCCAGTTGCCCTTGGAGGTGGCCAAAGCTGTGAGTTTTTGTTTGACAGTTTCCAAGGCTTCAGGTATGGACAGGTTCCTGTACTTCTTAGGCACCGTCTTTGTTGCACCTTTCTGCAGCTCCGATGGTTGTCTAGACTCCTTCCTGCTGCCTTGATCTTAGCCTCTAGTCTCCTTCTCCATGGAGGATACTCCTCCTCGTGGCTGTTTGTTCATCTTGTAGCCAAGCATCTCACTAACCACGGCTGCCGTAGGGTAGATCAGCTGATTAGTCTCAGTAATGGTCGCAGTAGGTATTGTCTGTAGTGTTTCATTCACATCCTCTACTAGATCTTCAGAGGGTACTTCATGTAATCTTGGTAACGGAGGGTGCAGGTTTCAAGCTTCATCATGATTCTGTTTTTCAGGTAAGTTTTTCTCATACTCAACGACCCTTCTTCCATCGCACTTGGGGCTTGGTACCCAATCTCAGGTGGCGGTGATGATATCTCCCCCTAACCTGTCGTCCTGGCTCCCCCTTGCTGTAGCATTTGTGTTGCAACTCGTCAGTCTCTAGCTGTGAGAGCAGTTCCTTCTTCTGAATGTTGAAAGACTGAGCTGAGTTGTTTCGCCGTCAGTCTGGATGGAGGTATCAAAGACTCCATAGGTCCCACATCCTATTCATGTAACCCCTTCCCCTGGGGTTACTTGTGAGTAGCATTCCAACAACGCCCTGTTTTCATCTCTTGCCCACTTATGCATCTCCATCTTGTTCCAGTAGCCCACTTCTCATTCTTCTTAGCACTGGGACCAGGCATGTGTTCTCTCTCTGGAGGTGCAGGCTCAGGTTGTATAGGCGTAGGAGTACTACACACAGCTGGCTAGCACAGGCCGTCGTCGGGTCCTGCTGCTTTCCCCTGTCTGAGCCTCTCTAGCTCTCTTCTCATTTACGTGGATGTAATGTGCAGGCCGGTCTGGGTGATGGAGATGAAAAAGAAAAGGAAAAAAAAGCAACAGAAACATTAAAGACACTAAAAAACGTTACAAAGACAGGGAACTGCTACAGCAGGCTGCCACTAGAAGGAGCCATCTGTAAACCATCTTTATTTATTTATGAATTTCATTCTGTTTGGTGTCTCCAGCAAGAAAAATCTTTTCAGAAACGTATTGCATAAGTGTAGTTTTCACTCAGAGGAAGGAAACCGGTAATGTTTTTCTATATGAAGGCATTCAACTAATTGATTTTCCTCTACTTGATGCAGATAAATACTATTAATGGGTTCACAGT